GCACCACCATGCCCAGCTAATTTTTTGTATTTTTAGTAGAGACAGGGTTTCACCATGTTGACCAGGATGGTCTCGATCTCTTGACCTCGTGATCCTCCCGCCTCGGCCTCCCAAAGTGCTGGGATTACAGGCTTGAGCCACGGCTGAAGAACTTGTTAAAGTAGGTATAATAGCTAGTCAGGCGTGAGCAGGGCAGGAGAGGGCTCCCCATGACCCCACCAGGAATGTCAGGCCACCATTAGATGATGATCAGGTGGTTGTTAACTGTCTCCCTAAAATCATAATTGTGGCTGGGTGCAGTAGCTCATGACTGTAATCCCAGCAATTTGGGAGGCCAAGGTGGGCAGATCACCTGAGGTCAGGAGTTCAAGACCAGCTTGGCCAACATGGTGAGACTCTGTGTTTACTAAAAGTACAAAAATTAGCCAGGTGTGGTGGCAGGCGTCTGTAATTCCAGCTACTCAGGAGGCTGAGGCAGGAGAATCACTTGAACCTGGAGGCGGAGCTTGCAGTGAGCTGATATTGTGCCATTGCACTCCCACCTGGGCAACAAGAGCAACACTCCATCTAGAAAAATAAAACAAAATAATAAAATTATAATTGATCACAGCCAGTGCCAGGGAAGGGCAGTCTCCCAATAAACAGAAACACCTGAAACTGGTGATCAGCAGCTTCCCGATAAGATCTCAGGAGTTGGGCAGGTGGGCTCAGGCATGCGCATGAAGAGGCAAAATGGTGGCGTTTAACTGGTATATAACCTTCTAGTGACATTCAACTGGTAAGAGTGCCTCAAGAGATCATGCATGCAACTCCAGTAAACATACTGCGCATAGTCCCCTCCCAAGTGCGAGCAGCCCATTGCACATGGGACAGCCCTCCACAGGGAAGAATCAGAGGAGAAGGGACACAAGACCCTGGAAACATGCCAACCTGTGAAACCCCAAGTCAAAGGTCAAGCAGCACACCAGATCTCTCAAGTCATCTGCTTGGCCCTCTTCCCAGTGTACTTTACTTCCTTTCATTTCTGCTCTAAAGCTTTTTAGTAAACCTTCACCCCTATTGTAAAACTTGCCTCAGTCTCTCCTTCTGCCTTTTGCCCCTCAGTTGAATTCGAATTCTTTCTTCTGAGGAGTCAGGAATTGAGGTTGCTGCAGACCCATACAGATTTGCTGCTGGTAACAAACTCAGAGAGAAAGGTAAATTTGCTCACAAAAACATACTTTACCTAATTACTCTAAACTATAAATGGCTCAAAAGAAAAAGATTTTCTTGACTCTTCGTTAGCCAGACCAGCAGCCTTCCAAACAAGATGTTTGTTCCCTTTGAAACTGCCACCCACAAGCCAAGCAGCTCCCGTCAGATGAGAGCCTGTTTATCAGGCACTGTAGAATCCAGCAGCTCCTCACATTGAGTTAGTCCTAAATGGAAAGGAGGCTTCTTGCTCATGAGTATTTCCTTGCATCCCCAGATAGCAAGATCCTATACAAACATTTTAATTTTATGATGGAACTCTTCTGAGCAGCATTATTTCCATTACCATAGGGGTAAAGTCCCAAAAGTGCTCACAGGCTTTTGCCATAAGTCCCAGTAAACGCTCCACAAAGAACGATCAAGTGAACGATTTGGAAGTGCTCCAGCTCCTACCCTATAGTCTGTGTGTAAGGTTTATTCTCTGTAAGGTTTATTGCTGAGTTTAAAATGAGGAAACTGAGGCCTGCATGAGAACAATTAGACGCTAATTTATTTGGCTCCAGGGCGAGGTTTTATGGTTTAGGGTAAGGGGGCCAGAGAAGTAGCGCCTGATTCCTCTCAGGTGTGGGGTTATATAGGGAGGGAAGGCGCTCTGATTGGCTGTGGAGAAACGGGACGTGGAGGTGGCAAGCTGCTATAGGTAGGTAGGCGGGATTTCTGGTGAGCGGGTTGGACGGGGCAATGCGCTATTGGGCAGGTTTTGGCAGGGCTTCTTTTAAATTTTGGTGGGGTTTTCCAACGGCTGGCTAGGTGCCGAGTGCAGAGTTTAGCGTGGAGTGCAGATCCTGGTGCTGAGTGCAGAGGGGATTTCCAATGCTGGGCTAGGTGCCAAGTGCAGAGTTTAGTGTTGGGTGCAGAGGTGGGCGTGGCAAAGCTAGATGCTGAGTGCAGATTCTGGTGACGTAATTTTCCAGCGTGGAGAGGGATGGGCGTGTTCAAGCTGCCGTCGAGGCAACTGGCCTTACACTGTGGGCTCAGGCAATCTTAATAGTTTTAATTTAGTGTGTCCAATTAACATTTCTCAAAAGGCAGATTTAGTTTTACAGTAGTAGATAGGGAAATACCTTCCAGTCTGTGAACCTAGAAAATCTGAGATAAATCTCAGTTAATTTAGAAAGTTTATTTTGCTAAGGTTGAGGACACACCCATGACACAGTCTCAGGAAGTCCCAATGACATGTGCCCAAGGTGACTGGGGCACAGCTTGGTTTTACACATTTTAGGGAGACATGAGACATCAATCAATATTGTAAGAACTACATTAGTTCCATCCAGAAAGGTGGGGACAACTCAAAGCAAGGCCCGCACCCAACCCCCAGAGGCTTCTAAGTCACAGGTAAGCCACAAATGGATGCATTCTTTTGAGTTTCTGATAAGTCTTTCCAAAGGAGGCCATCAGAATATGCATCTATCTCTGTGAGCAGAGGGATGACTTTGAATAGAATGGGAGGCAGATTTGTCCGGAGCAGTTCCCAACTTGAGGGGGCCTAAGATATTTTCTTTTCACATTTCCCCCCTTGTCTTTTTAAAAGTCTTTTTGGAGAAAGCATTTTAGAAGAAAATGAGTCTCAGGTTTCATCTGATGTGTCATGGCTAGGACGCTTTATTCCTAAATGAGTAGGTCTTATAAACTCATTTTTAGCAGGTTGTGAAGTCTCCTGTCCTATGAAGAGAAAATGGGGGGAGGAAGAAAGAAAAACAACAACAAACAAAAGAATAATCCTGAAGTCCATATGTTTAAAAACATACACCTGACTGCCTTGCCAATCATTAATTACTGGGCAGGCTAAGAGTTCTTCCTCTCTTGCTGTTTGCTTTTAAGACAAGCTCCTATAGCTGTAGCATCTCCTTTGACAGGGCTCAGGGAGAATTTCTATCTCCTCTATGACACTTTTACTTGCTAATGGTGGTGCTGAGAGAGAAAGACGCAGTAAGGTAGATGACTTTTCCTTCTCCTTCCCGTCTTTAGGCCCTTCTGTGTATAATGGGACTAGAACTGCCCTCACTAAGGCCCATAACATTAGAAATGTTACTGGGGCCTGTTGCCTTTGTGCATGATTTTTCCCCACTTGTTCCCAGAACTTTACGTCTAGTGTGCTCTCTGCTGGGAACCACGGGCTTTGGGAAACAACGGTTTGCATTAACAGCTATTAATTGATACTGTTACTGTTGTGCTGATAACTGCTGTCCATGATGAATGCTGTCCTGTTGTGCTAATTGATAACTGATACTGTTCTGTTGTGCTGATAACTGCTGTCCATGATGAATCCTGTCCTGTTGTGCTAATTGATAATTGATAACTGATACTGTTCTGTTGTGCTGATAACTGCTGTCCATGATGAATCCTTAGCCTGAAACAATCCCTCCCTGAACCTGGCAATTCCCAGTGAGTACCAATGACTTACTGACTACTTAACCTGATCCTGGGGTCTCCTGCACCTTCTGTTTTCGGGGGATCCACCACTTCTTCGCAGCGATGATCACGTTGGTTCGCTACATGCTGGGGAGCCTGCTGTGACGATGTCTTGGTCTCCTCACACGGTCTCTTCACACATGGGGCACCAGCTGTGGCATTGGTCATGTCAGGGTCACTGCCTGAGACGTTGATTACCAGCTGTGGAGGTCTGTCCTGCAGATAAGAACTGGCTGCCTTCTGGCCGTTTCATGAGTTAGTAAAAACCTTTCAGCCTTTGGAACCTAATGGACTTACAGTTTCACATGGCTGGGAGGCCTCACAATCTTGGTGAAAGACAAGGAGGAGCAAGTTACGTCTTACATGGATGGCAGTAGACAAAAAAGAGAGCTTGTGCTGAGAAACTCCCATTTTTAAAACCATCAGATCTCGTGAGACCCATTCACTATCACAAGAACAGCACAGGAAAGACACATTCCCATGATTCAATCATCTTCCACTGGGTCCCTCCTACAACAAGTGGGAATTATGGGAGCTACAAGATGAGATCTGGGTGGGGACACAGAGCCAAACCATATCACTGCATGTTCTCATTTATAACTGAGAGCTAAATGATGAGAACGCATAGGCACAAAGAGGAGAATAACAGACACTGGAGCCTACTGGAAGGTGGGGGGTGGGAGGAGAGAGAGAATCAGAAAAAATAACTAATGAGTACTAGACTTTATACCTGGGTGAAGTTAAATCATCTGTACAACAACCCCTGTAACATGAATTTGCTGATATAACAAACTTGCACAGGTAATTCTTAACAGGTAAAAAACAAACAAATGAAATCAACTCAATAGTTCCAGAGACAGTTGTTTCGGATAAACATAGAAATTGACCTTTCTGGTCTTAAAGCTTGAAACTTTAAGCTTGAAACTTAAAGCTTGAAATTTGATTTATTTGAGTTCCTTCCTCAGGAAACGACCTTCAGGCCTCTCAAAAAAGAAAAAAGTGTCGATGAACTGAAACTCCCCAGATCACTACATCCAGACAATGAGACTTTGGACCCCTCATTCATCATGATTACTTCCATGGCCCTCTCTCTCTCTCTCTCTCTCTTTTTTTCTTTGTCTTTTTCTCAGTTGTGGCATGTGCCTTTGCAAATACCATGGCCTGCTCTAGTTCCTATTTCCTAACATGTTACATTTCTTCCCTGCTCTGTAAAACCCATGTTTTAGTCGGTCAGGGAGATGAATTTGAGGTTGAGCTCCCATCTCCTCAGCTGTAGCACCTGATTAAAGCCTTTTTCCTTGGCAATACCTGTCAGTCACTGGTTTTCTGTGTGGCGAGCTGCAGGACCTAGACTGAACTCCTGATGTTTCAGTAACATATTTTGGTTCCTTGACTGGGAACATGTTGCTTGTGGCTTGGCTGCCATGGGTGGGAGCCTCAGAAGCCCTCCTAAGCAGCTGCCCAACAAATTTTATTTTATTTCTTTTGAGATGGGGTCTCACACTGTCACCCAGGTTGTAGTGCAGTGGTACAATCTCAGCTCACTGCTACCTCTGCCTCCTGGTGATATAGGAGTTAGAAGAAATCACTTAGGCAGATAGCAAGGATGTGGGAGTCCTTGGTAAGGCTTTTTTTTTTTTTTTTCTGAAAAGCAGCCCCAAATCATTTTCTAAGAAAAAGCAGCTTGAAAGCTGGGAGTTTGCATGGGTGAATGCCAGCAGGAACTAAAGAGTAGACATGTTCAAGGTGGCGACTCCATCTTCCCTTCTCTGACAGTCAGTGTACTGTAAGGAGCAGACCAGATAGAATCTGCTGATCAACTGGAAAGCTCATTTGCATAAGATTAGGGTGGGGCAACCAGCTTTTCCTGAGCAGCATGTAAACATCATACCTGATCAAACCAATCTATGAGCTCCATGTAAATCAGACACACTCAAACACACTAAAGCAGTCCACACTAAATCAGACACTGCGTCCTCACACTGGACTATAAAATGTGGTACATTCACCACTAACCATTACTTTCCAGTCAGAGACCCCTTCCTGTATAGAGGAAGCTGTTTCTCTATCTCGTCTCTTCTACCTATTAAACCTCTGCCCCTAAACTCCTCGTGTGTGTCCATGTCCTAAATTTTCCTGGCATGCAACAGTGACGTAGATATACCTGGGGGCACATAACCCAGGCAATGTAGCCACTTCATCAGGTTCAAGTGATTCTCCTGCCTCAGCCTCCTGCGAGTAGCTGGGACTACAGGCATGTACTATGCCCAGCTACCAACCAATTTTAGCTGGAAGTGAGTTCAGTTTCCCTCTGGCCCACCATGGTCAGCCCCAACCATCTTTCTAATTGCCTTGGAAGAATAGCCTTTGAAATTGGACATCTGCATCCAGATAGGTGAGTGTCCTTTGTGGGCCCAGACAGTAGGATCTGCTTCTCCCAATTTGGGAAATTTTTAAAAGAATTTTCATTTGTATGTGAACAAGCCCAACTGACTGAGAGAGGGAAACACCCTGACTGTTTTAGTGTGGACACTCTTGAGAGCTTATTTATAATTGTGTGTTGTGTCTGGATAAGTGAGTGTCTTGTGTTGTACCAGACAGTGGGATCAGTTCTTCTCAATTTGGGAAATTCCTAAGGAATTTTTGTTTGCATTTGATCAAGCCCAACCATCGGAGAAGGGAGGCACCCTGACTGTTTCAGTTTGGTCACTCTTGGGGCTTGTTTTTTGCTGCAGCAGTTAGATTGTGTTTTGGTGATTGTGTGTGTTTTATATAGTCAGGAGAAATTGGAATTTGATAAACTCATGTTCTGTTGAAACACTGTTTGGCCCTAGTGGTGTTTGGAATCTGGAGTTTGCTGTTTGGAATCTGGAGTTTGCTGCTGAATAGGAAAGTGGGATGGAGTTGTGTGTATCCAGGCTTTTGTGCTGCTGTTCTAAGCAGGGTCAGGCCTGGCAGATAGGTGACGTTCCCCGTTATTGCTGTTTGGCCTCAATGTTCTTTGGAGGCTGAGGAGGTTTGGCCTTTAAAAATCAAACTGCCGGCTGGGTGCGGTGGCTCAAGCCTGTAATCCCAGCACTTTGGGAGGCCGAGGCTGGTGGATCACAAGGTCAAGAGATCGAGACCATCCTGGCCAACATGGTGAAACCCCGTCTCTACTAAAAATACAAAAATTAGCTGGGTGTGGTGGCGTGCACCTGCAGTCCCAGCTACTCGGGAGGCTGAGGCAGGAGAATTGCTTGAACCTGGGAGGTGGAGGTTGCAGTGAGCTGAGATTGTGCCACTGCACTCCAGCCTGGCGCCTGGCAACAGAGTAAGACTCTGTCTCAAAAAAAAAAAAATCAAACTGCCATGGAAACTGCTGTACCCAAAATTTTGATTCACAGCCTTCACTGGATTACCTATTCGGGCAAACAAAGTGTAACCATGTAAAACCAGTAAGCTTGTATTGCTATCTCATGGCTGTAGTTTCAAGGTAAAAACTATTGGATCTTCATTTATGTGTGTGTGTATACATGTCTAGATGTGTTTATTTGTATGTATAATTATTGTCATATGTTGTATCTACCAAATTGGCTTATAAGTAAAAGAGCACTCATAAATTAAGTAAATAAGTCAAAGCAATTTTCAAGTTCATGTGACTTAAGTAAATCTTTACTAAACCAGCTGGCTTTAAAATTATTGATAAAATGAAAATAGAAATGTCTTCAAAATTGTGAGCATACATTTTTGTCTGTATTTTATATTTGTCTCTGGTAGATATTTTGAGGTTTTAGGGGTTTGGCATAGAAGGTTATAAAACTATAAATCCAGCCAAAACAAAGGATATTCATGCATTTTTTTTTTTAGACGGAGTCTTACTCTGTCACCAGGCTGGAGTGCAGTGGTGCGACCTCAGCTCACTGCAACCTCAACCGCCTGGGTTCAGATGAGTCTCCTGCCTCAGCATCCCTAGTAACTAGGACTATAGGTACATGCCACCATGCCCAGCTAATTTTTGTATTTTTAGTAGAGATGGGGTTTCGCCATGATGGCCAGGATAGTTTTGATCTCTTGACTTTGTGATCCACCTGCCTTGGCTTCCTAAAGTGCTGGGATTACAGGCGTGAGCCACTGTGTCTGGCCTGCAAATTTTTTGATAAGTAATGTTACGGGATCACTGGGTGTCGATTTTTCTAGCCAGAAACCTCTGTGGCCAGTGGCATTTTTGCCTGGGTTCTTATCCCGCATTCAAGAAGAATGAGGTTCCCAGACAAGTGAATGGTGAACAAGACAAAGATGAGCTTTATTTAGTTTAGAGCAGCTCAGAGGAGACCCGCAGCGGCTAGCTCCTCTCTGTTACTGGTTTTCCCAACGTCTGCTGCTCTCAGCAGAGAGGAGGCCCTGGAAAGGGTGGCTCCTCTCTGCAGCTGGTCAACCCAATGTCTCTTCTGGTCTCTGAAGGTCTTGTCAGAGAGGGTAGTTCCTCTCTGCGAGCTGGTCATCCCATTGTCTCCAGCTGTCAGCAGGGAGAATAGCTCCTCCCTGCAGCTGGTCCTCTTGTTGTCTCCCCATCCTCTGCCCTCCTGTGGCTGACCTTAGGGCTTTTATGGACCTCAGGGGGAAGGGAGTGTGTGCTGATTGGTCCACAGGAGAAAGCACCATGAGTTTCTCCTCTGATCAGCAGGAATGGCAGCCTGGTCCCCACACTTCAAGCCTGTCCTGGCATGAAGGTGGGGCTTCACTGGGGACTTGCCCCCTTCCGCCTAGGAGCCTGTCTACCTTCCACAGCCATCAGTGCTTCCACAGTGCTCAGGCTGTTGGCACCTGCAGGCCAGACCCCAGTCACCCTCAGACCCCCCTCAGCTTCCCCACCTGCACTCCTCAGTGCCCAAAGTCTGGAGGGGGCCAAGGCAGCAGGAGACTGGCATGTCAGCATTGCCCTGAGCTTGCACACACCTGGCAGCACTGTGACAGCTCCCAGGCTTGGTCCCAAGCCTGCTCCAAGATCGGAGTGGGCACCGGGAGCAGGGAGAGGCCAAGCAGCAGGAGCAGGCACCTCCGAGCCTTCAAGGGCAAGGAGGGGGCCTTCTTAGGCCCCTAAGAGTGCAGGGATACCTGGGTCTGTATCCCCAGTTTGGGTGGCTGCAGCAGCACCCAACGAGGTGGGGTTCCTGCCTGCTCTGTGGAAATGAAAGCCTGTATCTGCAGCTGTGGACCAAGTTACTGCAGCTGCAC